TCCCTTGAGTTTATTCTTAGTTCCCAAGGTGTGACATTTGTGAAATATCTAAGCAACAATGAAGAGCCAGTCCGGTTGGAGCGACAAGAAGCACAAACAGGTTTTTTGAACCAGACGTTTTCTTGAATTGCTGAACATCAAAGTTGAGACAACTCTGCATTCTTACAAGGTCCAAGGACCATCTTCCTTTAAAGGCAGCCCTTCCTTTTCCTTGATAAGCTCTAGGAAACCAGGTTGCATGCTGTCTCCACTGTGGATCTAACACCACGTCAGGAGCCCTTGGGGCAGATGTGTGTGTGATGGCTCACTCCCAGACGGCTCTAAATCTGCTCCCGCTGAAAATTGGTTGAGTGGTTGAACCTTCCAACTCTTCCCTCAGACAGGAGTGTCCAGGGGATTCAGGGTAAAGAAATTCCCACACGCCTGGCTTGTGCCCTCCTTCCCCACAGCCCCCAGGACAGGTCTGACATGCCCTTCAGCAGTGTGGGTGGGGAAGGGCCAGCCAGCCATGTGTGCCCAGAGGTGAGCTACTTGTAATGGGACTGAGTTTTCGAGGGGTGAGGTAGGTGACAGCTACAGGTAGCCAAAGGTGAGACTTCTGAGGGACGGGGACATCGTGTGACTCAAACGTCCTACTGGCCTCATAGCCGCATGCCTCCAGGCAGTCTGGATGGCGGGGGAGACCTGAGCTCACACTCCACCAAATGAAGAATGAACTGGATGTGCCCAGGACATCTTTTACTGGACAGTAAAAAAGCAGGAGCAGGGGGCTAGGTGAACAATGCCTCAGTCCCTTGCCCCCACCAGGCTATCCCCACTAGCCCCTGCTGTTGAAATGACACTTAACTGGGAGACAGCTAGAGTCCAGGTAGACTGGGAGGTTGAACACAATGGAGAGACTCCACCATGTGTTAAGGGTTTCTGCTCTTTTTTTTTTTTTAATTCTTTCTTTCCTTAAAAAAGAAAAAAAAAGTAGCTCACAGACAACAGAGGAAGGAGCAACATAAAAGTTTATATGGAAAAAACCCCTCACCTTTCAGATCTCGTGCTCATAAAACCAGATCCAGTTTGAGGGGCTGACAGTGCCCTGGTGTTTTTCACAGCTGCCCTTCATGGATTTTCATGATACTTTATAGCTCTGGGGCTTTCTGAGACTCTGCTGGGGGCAAACCCTACATCCTGCAGGCCTTCCTATCTGTGCTCATTCAGCCTCCCGAAAATCAAATTGTTTGGTTTTGCTTTTTGTAGCAACTCTAGCTCATCATTGCGCCATTAAACTTTTAAGGGAATTATAACCTCTCAGTTTGCTTGCCAAAGTGATTTGACTTCAAGTTGTTCCCGGAAAAGTCAAGAGACGGTCTCTAGACGAGTAAGTAAGTTTAGGAAATGCTACACAGACTTTTCTGGGAGGTTCACAATGCACACCTGCGTATTACCAGCAGTGAGAAGGCCTGCAGTTACCAGCTCTTCGCAAACCCACCTGACATCTACACTCCTCACACAAGACATCCTGCAAACACAGCGTTGCAGAAACATTCCTTGAGAAACACCATCCTAAATCCTGCTCGCTCACACAACTAAGCCACGTACTGCCCACCCAGGGGTGTGCTTTGGGGGCTTTGTGAACCCCAGTGCAAGACCCAATATTTATTCCTGTTACGCTCAGCCCCACCTACCCAGCCTGTCAAGGTCTTTTTGGAACTTGATTCTTAGAACCATATTTGTCTTGGACTCACGTCTCCCTAGCTAATGTTTCCACAAGCACACACACGTCTGCAGGAAAAGAGTAGCCCATAGGTGAAGCAGTTGCAGCTCTTCAACCCGCCGGCTAGTTGAGTCCTGCATGCACTGCCCCTCTTGGGAGGCATGCTTGGGCAAGATCCTTCCGGAGTATCAGGGATGAATTTTATGTGGTTTCCAAGGAGATGCATTCATTTGAAGTTGTTTTTCCACCGAACAGCCCCAAAGTGAAAAGCGGTTGCGGGGAAGCTGAATTATGACCTAATGCCAGTAGCAGCTGCTGGTAACTACAGGGAAGGGGTGGGAGAGCTGATGGCTGGGAGTTGGGGGCTCATTAACACGCACTTCTTAAATTAGCAAATCCTTCTAGTACAAGTTTAAAAATAGGAACCTAATGGTTTCTAAAATTAGCAGTCATGGCTCTCCATAAATATTTAGACCTCCAATAAACTTCTGGTCCACTTCCCTAGACTAATGGGGTCAAGGAGGCTTAGCTTTTATGCCACATTCTTGAGGATCAGTGCACTTAATGACTGACCTTGACAAACAAAAGCTTTGAGAAGCCCCAGAATGCCCTGGACCAGGGACAGCCTGCGTGGCCATCAGCCTGGGGACAGCATCGAGGCAGGACTGGAAGCATCCCAAAGGTCATCTGGAAAAGTCTGCAGCCTCTGGGCTACCTAGAGGAACCAACTGTCCAGGTTGGCCTGGGACTATCCCGATTTCACACTGAAAGCCTCCCAGTCTCCAGCAAACCGGAACGGTTGGTCACCTTGGCCACCTGGCCCACTGCCAAAGGACTGAGACCAATGTTCTGGGACGTCTTTGGGGAGAAGAGTCAACTCTCCAGAAGGCACTGATGATACCCTCCCCCCACCCCCTGTGGTCTTCACACCAGTGTCACTCCTATTTACTTGAGAAGGGTAGTGGTTGAAGGAGGAATTAAACCACAGAAAAGACCAGCCCGGCCAGGCATGGAACTTCATCCCCTGCACCCAGTTTCCCCATGTGTAAAACAGGATGAACAGTTGCCGCATCCCTGGGTTACTAGGGGGAATAAACTGGGCCGCGTTATGTCCGAGAAGCGCCCAGCACCGCTTATGCCTAGAAATTGGTGCTCTGGGTGTCAACTCTGCTAGGGCGCTCAGCGCATCGGAGGGTCGCTGAAGCAGTCCTGGCCCACACATCAAAGCGACCCCTGGGTGGGCCCCATCTCTTCCCCGGCAGTGACTGCAGGACAGCCGGCCCTGCTCTGGGCAACAGGGACTGCCAGGGTCCCCCCACCCTGAGCCCAGCACCTGCATAGAATGCGCACTTGCTGAGTGGAGGGAAAAATCCTTCGTGGGGAGACAAGGTGCAGGTGACCAGTCAGTGTGAGGTGTGTGTGAAAAACACTGTGTCCTGGACAAATCATCCTTTAAAATGCCTGTGCAAACCCTAATATTGTCGCCACTGCCAGAGGACTGCATGTCCTGTTTGGCACCACAGTGTTTTGCTGTCCCCTAGTTTTGCTTGTTAACCCACACAGAGCTAGGAATCGTTAACCAGCACAGAGCTAGGAATTAGCTACAAGGCTAAGACATCTCAGCCCAGTACGTAGTTTTAAATCCAGCAAGATGACGGTACAGGCCCGCAGTGGAAACGTCACGTGTTTGTTACTAACCAAATCCTGTACTGTAATTGAGTAGGGGATTTCTCCACCAGGGACCCAGGGTTCAAGACCGTCGCAGTGAGCGTCTGCATGGCCTGGGTGGGAGAGGCCCTGCCAGCCCACAGTTTGCTCCCTGCAGCCTTCCCATGCTTAACTGAGATGAAGGAAGGGGTGGGTTTTGCCTACTGGGTTCCTCCTTGGTTCAGGATGCTGAAGTGACTTGTCATCAGCAGAGAAGCGTCCCTTTTCTCCCTTCAGGACCAGGAGACGCTTTGGGGCCATGGAGTCTAGCTCCCTCGTGTTAGAGAAGGAAGCTGAGCCCAGAGAGACACCCCGAGAGTCACCCAGCCGGTGGGGGTGGCAACATGGATTGGTACCCTGCCCCAGGCAAGAAAGAGGAGCCTGTGGGGCTCACTGGGGTATTTCTGCTCACCCGCCCACCTTCCTTCCTCCCTTACTCTTTCCTTGCATCCTTTTCCTTGCTTCTCTCCCTCCTCCCTTCTAATATTTCCTGAGTGTCCCCTATTTGTCTGTCACTACAGAGGTGCTGGGTCCTTGCCCCCCAGAAGTGTGCCGGATTTTGCCATGGTTAGAATTTTTTAAACCTCTGAAATGGCTCCACATTCCTGTCTCTCCGGAAGGCAGGTAGCAGTACCTGGTTCACAACAAGCCCACCCCTCTGCAGAGAAGTGTGAGGGGAGGTAGCCTGCCCGGAGGGGGTGGTCGCTGATTTGTGGCCTGAGCCCCAGCACCTCAGGCGCTGGTGACCTTGGCCGTTCCTGGCCCCTGGCATCCGTGGGCAATCTCTAAGTTCACATCCAGCTCCAGGACTCTGGAAGAAAGCATGAGACCTGCTTGTGGCTGCTAAATCTCTCCCTTCCTGAGAGCACAGGGAAGTCTCCCACTTTCTGAAGTCATTTCATCCTGACGGGCAATCCGAGGCTAATTTCTAAGTCAGAGGTAGCACACACCTTAACTCTTGTCAGTCCATGCGTTGGTTTAACAACTGAAGTGATTACCGACCAAACGGTAGGCAATGAGATTCAAATGCAGCAGAAGTGTTTCAGGGTTGACATAAGGTAGAACTTCCCACACGTGCTTGCTCAGTGCTGACAGATCAGAAGTGGGGGCCGTGGACTGCCCTTCCCTGGGGTCCTTGGGAAGCCCCGGCCAGCCAGATTTCTGCCGTCATCCCTTCCCCTCTGGCCTTCCGGGGAAAACTTAGGCAGCTTACTCTCTCACCCAATGAAGCGGCAGAAACTATTTATAAAAATATGCTAATTGTCGAGGCGCCTGGGTGGCTCAGTTGGTTAAGCGACTGCCTTCGGCTCAGGTCATGATCCTGGAGTCCCTGGATCGAGTCCCGCATCGGGCTCTCTGCTCGGCGGGGAGCCTGCTTCTCCCTCTGACCCTCCCCCCGTCATGTACTCTCTCTCTCTCTCTCTCATTCTCGCTCTCTCAAATAAATAAATCTTTAAAAAAAAAATATGCTAATTGTCATACCAACTGCCTATGGAAAACTCAGTTTTGGCAGCAGAAAGAAATGCATCAAGATAATCTTTAACCCATTTCCCCTCTCTCCCCCCGCCCCGCCTCCCGGCTTCATTAGGACTCCGGCGGGCGCCTGAGCGAGCCCGGCAGCCGGCCACCGGGGCCATGGCCAGCACGGCCGTGCAGCTGCTGGGCTTCCTGCTCAGCTTCCTGGGCCTGGTGGGCACGCTGATCACCACCGTCCTGCCGCACTGGCGCCGCACGGCGCACGTGGGCACCAACATCCTGACGGCCGTGTCCTACCTGAAGGGGCTGTGGATGGAGTGCGTGTGGCACAGCACGGGCATCTACCAGTGCCAGGTCTACCGCTCGCTGCTGGCGCTGCCCCGGGACCTGCAGGCGGCCCGCGCGCTCATGGTCATCTCGTGCCTGCTGTCGGGCGTGGCCTGCGCCTGCGCCGTGGTGGGCATGAAGTGCACGCGCTGCGCCAAGGGCACGCCCGCCAAGACCACGTTCGCCGTGCTGGGCGGCGCGCTCTTCCTCCTGGCCGGCCTGCTGTGCATGGTGGCCGTCTCCTGGACCACCAACGACGTGGTGCAGAACTTCTACAACCCGCTGCTACCCAGCAGCATGAAGTTCGAGATCGGGCAGGCCCTGTACCTCGGCTTCATCTCCTCGTCCCTGTCGCTCATCGGCGGCACGCTGCTCTGCCTCTCCTGCCAGGACGAGGGGCCCGCCAGGCCCTACCAGGCCCAGCCCAGGGCCACCACAGCTACCACCGCACCCGCCTACCGGCCCCCCGCCGCCTTCAAGGACAACCGGGCCCCCTCGGCCACCTCGGCCTCGCTCAGCGGGTACAGACTGAACGACTATGTGTGAGTGCCCAGGACCTGTCCCTCCCCCGAGCGCACAGACGCAGCAGGACCCAGACTCGCCCCGATGCCGGCTCCCGGCGCAAAGTTGACTCCTGGGCTACTTATTTGTGTCCAGAGGAATAATATGAACACAAGGGAGTGGGCTTAGAACACAGGGAAGGAGGGAGAAATAAGAGAAGGGGAGAAAAGCTCTACATACCAAAGACTTCATCCTTTCTGGGTTTTTATTTATTATATGTATTTATGTGGGTGATTTAATAACAGCTGAATGAAAAGCAACTTGGGAGTTTGGTCTGTGGGGTTTGTTTGCAATACAGGAATAAACCTTTTGGATGTGGTTGTTAATGAAATGGACAGTATCCGTTTCCGTTTCCAGTCTATTCTGTCGGCTGAGGTCTCGGAACCACAGCAGGCTGTCAGGGCCCCACGTTGCAAAGCAATGGGGACACCCCGGGAGTGGCCCCAACCCACACATGATGGGAAAATCAGAGGAGGGCCGGGCTGATATTCATCTAAAAGCTGCTTGAGCAACACAACCAAAAAGTCACTCCAGCTTAAGCCCAGAGGCAGGGCAGGAAGTACAGGCCTTCCTAGGGGGAAAGATGGTTGCCGTAAACCCCACAGTAAAGATGATGTTGTTTTCTACTGGTAGTTCCCACTAGTAAGGAAGCACAAGTCAGCATTCAAAAGACAAAGCAAAAGGCGCCTGGTTGCTTGGCTCTCTGGGCATTGGCAAGAAGCCCAGTTAGGAGCACTGCTCGTGCCCGAGGGCCCCGCAGGACACCTCTGGCTTCTCTTCTGGCGACGGAAGCAGGAAGGCAGCTTCCATCAGGGCAGGTACAGAGTGTGTTGACTTCTCCTTTAGCTGGAAAGAACTGCTGAGAGGACCAGATGAGCTCTCACTGCTCTAAGAACATTGATGATGCTTTCTGGTTGTGATCTAAACCACATGGTCAGAGAGCTGTCTCACACACACACACACACACACACACACACACACACACACACACTGCTCTCCCATTAGCCTGGGGACCGTGGTCCTCTTCTCTGTCCATTTCACAGCCTTGCCTATCACGTGCCTTGTGGTGCCCTGCTTATGCCTCTGTTCCGAACCTCGAGTTCTGAACGTGTAAAGAACATACCCTGTCCTGTGGAAGGGCTGAGCCTGAGACCTAGACATAGGGCAGCAATTACACAGATCCGTCCATTCTCAAGGGGCCTTGGAGAAGGACCACCAGGGCTCCAGCAGCCACTGCCTGCAGAGAGGAGAGCCACAGCAGGTCAGCACAGACATGGAGCCAGCTGGCCAGGCTCGCTGGTGCGGCGACCAGGACCAGGGGGGTGGAATCCCAGGGAGGCTCCTGGACAAGGGTCGAAGGGCCAGGCAGGCCGCAGCCTGGAGCCCCTGGACGCAACAAGGCCAGATGTGGGTTTGTACTCCACTAACTTCATGCTTCCTCCAGACAGGGTCCTCCAGGCCATTGAGATGGTGACGAGAAACCCAGCCGCCGTGGGCTTCTCCTGCAGGCAGAGGCCCTCAGCAGTAATGTGTTTCCACTGAGAGACCCTCTGGTTCCTTGAGGCCTTACCAGTCACAGCTCCTAAACTACTCTGTTGCTGAGTTCTGGCAATAGGAAAACCTTCCCGACGTGAAGAAGTGGGGGTTAAAGGAGCAGCTCTACACCACTTTTTGTTGGCCTTATGACCCCAGGTAACAGGTGCCACCTCTGTTTGGAAGGAGGGGGTGCGATACATTTTAGCCTGAAAAGCTAGGAGGGCTGGAATCTGCCATCCCATCCAGGCCAGGGAGTTAGACCAGAAAGGTCATCATTCATGTCGGATGAAACAAGCGATTTTAACCTACTCTTTAAATTATAAAAATAAGTCGGGGCACCTGGGTGGCTCAGTTGGTTAAGCGACTGCCTTCAGCTCAGGTCATGATCCCAGGGTCCTGGAATCGAGCCCCGCATCGGGCTCTCTGCTCGGCGGAAAGCCTGCTTCTCCCTTTCCCACTCCTCCTGCTTGTGTTCCCTCTCTCGCTGTCTCTCTCTGTCAAATAAATAAATAAAAATCTTTAAAAAAAAAATTATAAAAATAAGTCAATCTAAACTACTGAAGAAGGGAAATAAAATCTTCTAAAAACAGAATGACATTCTGGCAGTCCTGCCTTGATGGTCATGGTCTAGAAGGTGTCTGGTGAAGTTATTCTAGGTAATAGACCTATTACAAATTAAAGAAAAAATGAAATCGCTTTTTTTCAAATTCTTTCTTGAATTCTGTCACTACTAAAATACTTAATGTCCCTATCTCTTACTCAGGGGAAAGACCAATAATAATAGTGCTTACAGTTTACTGGGCACTTACTATGTGCCAGGCATAGTTTTTGTTTACTAATTTGGTCCAATGAGACCCATGAGAACCCAATGACAAAAACACTATTCTTAACCCCATTTTACAAAGGAGGAAATTAAAGCACAAAGAGATTAGTTACTTGCCCAGGGCCACAGGGCCAGTGAGTAAAAGACCCAGGATTCAAAGCCAGACAGGTAAGCAGGGGACAAATATGTTCACTCAAATAGCGGCATGACCCACGGTCTAATTACTTTTGTGTCCAGACTATTTCCAAATAATTAAGAGATTATTCCATGCATATATGATTTTTTCCACAATCATCACTCCGTAGAGCTTCTGTTGGCTGGGCTCTGACTGGACTGATGAAACATGATGTCAGACCCAGAGGTCCAAATTTGGATCCCCATAGAACGTAGGAAGCAACACACAAGAAGGGACACATGGAGGGCTCCGTCCTATGGCTGGCCAGCCCAAACAGGAAGTAGGTCTGAATAGGACCTTGATTCCCTCCCTCGAGTAACAGGGTGTAAGAATACAGTTCCCAGTTTCCTCCTTCACTCCCAGGACAAGTACCTCAGGCCACACAAGCCCCCTTTTTGCCACATTACCACCAGGGCCAACAAATAGATGTTGCCTGTTTCTGTTTTTGCCCAAATCTTCAGGACTGCGCAATCTTAACCAAAGCTGCTTTGACGACAGCATGGTCTCCTTTTGGAGGTACAACACACAACCCCAAATTTCAGAATAAAAAGGAAACATGAGTTACCGTTGTTATGGATATAAATTACAACATGACTCTCACGGGATAAGAAATGCTACATTTCTTTGCTTCTCCAAATCAAACCAAGTTTGGCTCTGATCCAGAAAGGCCTAAAGCTAGCCATGTTTTCTGGTTCCCTCCCCTGCATTTAGGATGTCTCGGGGCCCCAGCGCTAAGGAAGGCCCTGGATTTATAGGCGTGAAGGCCGGTCTTTAGTCCTTAGGGATGGCTTGTTACCCACTGACCACTGGCGCCGATGTCTTCACAGCCCAGAGCCTCCCGATGCTCCTCCCAGGCCACCGCCCGTTCATCACCACAGTCTTGCACGTCATGTCCCCGGCCCTCCCTGGCCCTGTGGGAACAGACACTGGAAACCTCCACCCTGTGAACCTTTTGTCCCCAGCCCAGTCTCTGGGAAGCCACTTCCTGAGATGGAGCCACGCCCCTCACACACTCTGATTGCTTTCATGGGTTTCACCTCCTTAAATCAAAGGCCTCTGACTTCCCCTAGAGAACCCTGCTTTCGTGTCAGCCACGGTCACCCTAAATGGAAACCATCTGAGAACTCTGACTCACAATCGCTTAACAACCATCTATTACATTGTAGTGATAAAATGAAGACAGGGCCAGGATTTTCGCCCTCGGTGCCTGGCCCCACAGTCCCATGCTTGGCCACAATGCCACCCTGCTTCTCCCTGCCTTGGTCCCTCCTTGCTTTCTCCCTGCCAGGCAGAGGGAATGGCGTGAATGGCAACAATCCGGTCAGGAGATGTGGGTGTGGACCAGGTGGCAGGATGGAAAAGGAAGAAGAGATGAGGATGTGACTGAAGGCAGAGCCAGTAGGTTTTACTGAGGGCTTGGTTCTGGGTGTGAAAAAAAAAAAAAAGGCTTAAAGGATGATACCAAGATTTGGGGTTGGATCAGCTGGAAGAATGGGGTTACAATTTTCTGAAATGAAGACGATTCTGGAAAGAGGTTCTGGTCTGCTAAGGTAGATTAAATCCATTTTCCAGGGGTTTGGTCTGAGCTGCCTCCAGTGGAGATGTGGAGTGGGTCCTTGGATAGACGAAGCTGGAGTTCAGGGAGAGGTCACTTTGGGAGCCATCAGCCCAGGAACGCCACGTAAGCCGGCAGCTAGAAAGGATCAAGTTGGAAGCGAACCCAGTTGAGGAATCAAAGAGGCCAAAGACATTCACATTTGGAGGCTGGGAGGATGAGGCAGATGGATCTAGCCAGCAGCCAGAGGGGGAATGCCCAGCGAGCAAGGAGGACTAAGAAGAGGATGTTCTCGAAGCCAAGGAGAAGGGAGTGATCAGCAGCGTTAAATGAACTCCTTGATTTTCACGGTCAGGTGGCCTGGAGGCGCTATGATGGGCTTCATTTGCAGGGGAGGCACTGGACTTAGAAAAGTAAAGGGAAAGCTGAGGGCTGCCAGGCGGAGGCAGCAAGTTACCCAGTGGAGAGCAGACACACTGAGGTTAGAACACTCTTGTTGCCAGTTCGTAAGTTTGCAATAGCCCTCAAGGAAAATCTGCAGCTACCTACCATGGAATCCTCCAGAGATAATACATCAGGAGCCTTCTCACCAGGTTCTGTCCTAGGTTCCCGCGGACTCCATGCCACATTAATACTTCTGCATAGAAAGAAGAAAGGTAGCTACGTAAGATTTGAAAAGGAAACCAATGAATTTGAAATGTGTTGTCAAAATATTTACAAAGTATGACGTTACTAGCAACATTTATGCTCCTTCATGAATGCACTAAATGACAATACCCAGCAATGAATATTGCAAGGCCAAGGCAATAATGAGCATAAACAGTATTTTAAGAAATTTGCAACAACTGTCATTTGGTATGAATATACTTGTGATTTCCAGTAGTGATAAGTCCCAAGGATGAAAATATAAAATATAAAACAAAAAAAAGTAAAGCAAATTGCTCAGAGGACTTAAAGATACGCTTAAAGCCCCTTCACATGAGAACAGTTCGTGCAACCAGAAATTCAAATTTCCTTCTGCACATAAGTAAGAGTTAACTAAAATAAACCCTAAGAGGGGTGCCTGGTGGCTCAATCGGAATAGAATACCACGCTTCATCTCTAGGTTGTGAGTTCAAGCCCCACACTGGGTGTAGAGATTACGAAAAAATAA